ATATATACATAGACATATATATATATATATACACAGTCTGTATTACAGACATATATATATATCTTTATATATATAAAAAAAAAAAAAAAAAAAAAAAAAAAAATTTTTTTTAAACCGGGTACCCGATCGGGTACCCGGGTAGAATTTCTATTACCCGGACCCGACCCGGTTTGAGATCACCGGGTACCCGAACCCGGGAAAAACCCGGTTACGTCAAAAATTACCCGATCCGGTCGGGTAATACCCGACCGGGTCGGGTTATACCCGAATAACCCGACCCGAATGCCCAACCCTAGTTGGGCTTACTAATAAGGGTTGCCCCGACAAACGTGGGCCAATGCGACGTTTTTGGGCCAAAAGCTCGATTTACGCACAAAGAATAGAATCTCTTTGGAAGCTCGTAGAAAGAAAGTCATTTAACCTCGAGTTCGTCGAATAAACGTCGCATAGATATGCAGACAAATAGCTCGCCATTTCGCCCGAACATGCGCCCGTAGAAGACTAGGAAAATCAGTTGTCTCGAGAGCAATGGCATATTGAACATTTAAGCAGTTTTTAGCAAAAAACGTGTGCTAGAGTATCGGGCTTTTTTTTTTTTTTTTGTGATTTTATTTTACGAATAAATTGAGTGATGCAACCGAACGAGGTCTTAGCTAATAGAATTCAATAGAAGTTTTCTTATATTCGACACATTTTTAGAGTTAATAGATATAGATTTCATTACTCCACAATTGTTTTTTTTTTTTTTTTTTTTTGTTTTTGTGAATAAAAGATTATATTATTGTTTAATTGATTTGATATAAGAAAGCTGAATTTTGGACAAAGGGTATTTCTGATTAGTGACCCCATCACAACTTTGTCTTTCAAAAGTATAGTGTAGTAATAATAATAAATAATAATAATAATATCTTTGCCATTTATTTATTTATTTGTTATATATGATTTATTTATTAAATATGATCATATCTGAATGGTTCTTTGTTCAAATTCCAAAATTCCCAAATCTTAGGAGAGGCTTGTGTGTGACAAAAGTGCCCACTTCAAATTCCTTAATGTAAAGTTTCATATCATTTTACTTTCCATATTGAATTTCTTCTTTTTATTAATACATAATTATAATAATAATAATAAATAAATAAATATTGCTAAAAAAAGGGGTTTTCCTTTTTTTATTGCTTCTATATCAATTTGGTGTAATTTTATTTGATAACTGATGTATTTTGAGGGGTGGGGGGGAAATTTTATTTCTGTTATTTTTATACATTTAAATTGTTATTTTCCACATCATCAATCATCAATGCATCATATCATCATATATCTATTGACAATAATATTAAACAATAATAATAAATAAATAAAATGAATCATCATTTTTTTTTTTGATAAGAGTATAAAATGAATCATCATATAATATCATAACTGAAGGCACCAAATTGAAGTGGGCCACCACACCAAATTTGTGGATGCAATAGATTTTGTCTTTTCGATATATAAGAAGGCTACCCTTTTTATGTTTTTGAAAATTCCCTTTTCCATAAAGTTATTTTTTTATAAATAAATAAATTATCTCTAATTTTCAGTTTTGACTCACATGACCCGACCCGATACGGAACCATCCCGTTCAGTACTCCCTTTGTCCCTTAATAATCGTCTCATTTCATATTTGTACAAGTATTAGAAAGTTCAATAGCTGGGACTTGATTTTAGGAAAAAACACGTAAAAATGACTAAAATAACTTTTATAATCTAGTGAATAGTTAAATTTAAAGTTGAAGCAATAAGATAAAAACATGAAATAAATGCATTTAATTCAGCATTGAAAATCATTCTCGACGCATGTCAATTCAGTATTCAGTGTTCACTAATCTTTGACGGAAAAAAATACTGATTAAATACTCCGCACTTTGTATTAATTTTTCTCTCCCTAGTACTCTTCTAGAAGAAAACATGAATTAAATACTCCACAATATGAAATGTTTCTCTAATTTTCAACATATATGATGTCAATTTGTGACATGTTTCGTTCTTCTTAGAAACCCTAATAATTATATTATGTTTTTTCTTGGAATCTTAACTAATAATAATAGTGACATCATACAAGAGCATCAATTATCTTAGCTAAGCATATGATTTAGTACCTGAAAATAACTACCGGTCTTAAATTAATAATATACAAATTAAATGTGACTACGTATTTCAACATGGAATTATATTTCCTTTTTCCGAGAATATAGGTTTTTTTTTTTTACATGTACAATTTTTTTTTTTTTTTAAAGATTGTTTTACATGTTAAAGTTTAGTATTTTTAATGTACATTATTGTATGGCAGTACATTGATCCATAGATTCTTCATATCCATGTTAGGTAGAAATAGATACGGTACTTGCAGGGCCGTTCCTGAGAATTCGAGGGCTCTATACGAGACTTGAAAAACAGTTCAAAACGGGGCCTCGTATTTAGTGCCGAGTTCAAGAATTTATTCAAAGTGTGACACTGAATATCCTCGCTATGAAAATATATCATTTTTTTTCCTTTCACTGGCTTTGTTTATTTATACCACTACAATCATTTGGAGTTGGAAGACAACATGAATTTAAAGAAAGGGATTAAGTACCATAACTAGAGTTATAATTAATTAATTAAGATAATAAAAAGTCAATTTAAAAGAGTTAGTCGTTGGTAACATGAAATCAATTATAACAAAGCAAGAAAAAATAATTATTGCAACATTGGAAAATCCTCTTTAAAGTTATTTTTTTCTTTCATCTTCTTTTTGGTTCATAGTAAAACAAAATGAAAATATGAAGGGTTATTTTGCAAAAAAAAAAAAATTAAAAAACATATATTATTAAAAAAAATATATCTGAATTTTATCTTATAGGTAGGAATAGGACCAAACAAAGGCCACTGCACAAATTTGGCAGGAAAAGAAAACATAGACCATATTTATAGGGGTAATAATAAATTCATGGTACAATTTGGAAAAAAAGCAAAAGAGTTGACCAAGAAAATAATTCAATTTGTTAATTATCTTCTTTTTTCACCTTGGAAAAAAAATTAACTCTATTACTATATGCAGACAATCTTTCATTGCACGCAGGTCCTTATTGTAAGAGTAAACTGCAAAAAGCCCCCTCTATAATCAAGATCTTCTAAAAACGTCCATGTATTATAAAAACTATATATTATTCAATTTTATTCCATTCTTTGGAGGTGTAATTTTCAAACCTTGGAAGGAGGAGATATATACATACATAGCTATCATTTAATTATAAGTTAGGTAGCCGTGATCAATTATATATGTATGAGTTGAGTACTTATAAAATTAAATTACATAGTGCCAACAATTAATTATAAATTTAATTAATTATATAATACAACTCTAAAATTAATTAATTAATTAATTAAAAGGGAAGTGTTTGAGTGAGATGAGAGATAAAGACTAAAGATGACATAGTCTGTCAGCCAAATGTTTGTTTAATTACATCCTAATATATACTTTAATTAAAGACGTGTCCTACTCTCCTTTATTTAATCAATAATTTAACCTTAAACCACTATCTCAAAGGGCATTAAAGACTTTTCACACAAGGAGTATATACTATAATACTCCATTCTTAAGCCACTGGACTCTAACTCAATAATCATCATAATTATAGTCCTTTAATTTAACATTAGTGAGAGAAGTTCAAAGGCGAAAATCCTAATCATCGATGACGAAAAAAATTGCTAATTATTGAAAGCGCGTATGCCATGTAACATCTTTCGTACTTCCCACAAATTAAAAATTAAAAAAATGTTCAACGTATTTCACGAGATGCAGCATCTACAAGAGTCGAAGCTCTCTCTCACACACATACACACAGTCTCTAACACAAATAACACAAATAGGGTACACAACATGGCTTTAACATCTTTTTTGTTTATGTTACACCAATCATACGCATGTACAAATTCAGACGTATTTCACACACATCCACATATATGTGTGTGTAGTTTTGTGTAAATCAAAATTTAGATATCCTATATATTTCACCAGTTATAACATCTAAAGAGTTGAAATTCTCTCTCACACACATACACACAAATAGGGGACACGACATGGTTTTTTTTTTTTTTTTTTCTTTTTTCTTTTATGTTACACCAATCATACGCAAGTACAAATTCAGACGTATTTCACACGCATCCACATATATGCGTTGTTGTGTGTAAATCAACATTTAAAAATTATTCGATATATTTCGCAGGATATAGCATCTAAAGAGCCGAAACTCTCTCTCACACACATACACACAAATAGGTGACACAACATGGCTTTTACATTGCGTGTACAAATTCAAACGTATTTTACGCACATCCATATATATATATATAGTTGTGAGTAAATCAAAATTAAAAAAAGTACTCGATGTATTTCACCGGATAAAACATCGAAAAGAGCCGAAAGTCTCTCTCACACACAAATACACACACAATCTCTAACAAAATACACACACATAGGGGACACAACATGGCTTTAATAATTCTTTAATTAAAATAATGATTAGGTTTAAAGTAATAAAACAATGGAGATTAAAGTAATTGAAATAATGGAAACACTTCCGAGGGAGATGAAAGACAGAGGGATTAAACAAATGAAGTGAGGGGTCCAATAGTACAAAATCCCATGTGACTTTGATTAGGACAGCCAATTAAATTAATCACAACTTAATTAGAGCCTTAATTAAAATAATACAAACTAATTAGAGCACCAACTTCAATAGTAATGGATTATAATACCAAGTCCTGGCATGCAAAGTAACGTGATAGATGAACATAAAGAAACACATAACAGAATTATTAACTAACACCCAAAAAAAAAAAAAACTGAAAACTATAGTCGTCATCATTAAATTATTATTTTAATTAAGTAATTAATTTATGAAAAAAAAAAACATTATTGAAAGGGACAGACTAATCATACAGATGCATGTACTAAATAGAATTATTATTTATTTATTATTTATTTATTTTCCAAATAATATGAATTTCTAACATCATTTTTCATCCAACTAGGTAGGATTAAAAACATAGTATTTTTTATGAATTCAAGAAAATTTACACAATCATTCCTAAATCTAAGGATTGACATACATGCATTACACAGTGACATGTTTAATGCAAGAAACAGAATCTAATGGAATGGAATCAATTTAGAAATCACAAATTATGGATTCCGTTGAACAGAATCGAAACCTCAAGAAAATTCGAGGGTTTCGAACATTTTCGACAAATTCAACCCTAATCATCGAAATCATCGAGCAAAGATGGCTACCAAAGATTCAATCTTTAACCTACATAACAACGTGAAATTCAGATCATTCAACTATTCCAATCCACACCACAAAATCGAAACGATAAATTCAAAGGGTCATTCTTTCGTTTTCCGTATTCCTGGTTTTTTTTCTCCGGCAAACACGAAAATTAGAACCACCACCGATGCCTTTCAATTTAAAAAAAAAAAAAGCGGAAGAAGATTAATGTTTCAACATAAGAAATTAACCGAATGACATAAAAACTATACTAGAAAACACCGATCCGGTAATACAAATCTTTTTGCCCGACCCACCGAAGAAAATTAGCAGGCTCAACATTCATTCATAAGCAAGTTCCAAAAGGGATTAATTAAGTTAAAAAAAAACATTCTTGATAGAGTGGCAAAGATAAGATTTTTCCACTTAACTTTTTTTTTCCGGCTTTTTTTTCAGCACCTCCAAGCCGAAGCAGAAACGAGCTCCTTCCTCTGCCAGCAAAGCACGAGAGCCGACTGCCTCTTCTCCACCTGAAACCCTCTGACAGGTGTCCTCTTCACGACGCACTCCGCTTGAGATTCCGCAAAATTACTAAACGCCACTGGTGAAAATCCCGACGACAGAAACAGAGCCCTCCAATGCTGCGTCTTTTCTTGCGAACTGAATCGCCCCGTAACAATTTTCTCAATTCCAGGGTGGATTAAGAATCTCTCGATTTTCTGCAACGCGTCGATATTCACATTCACGGCATCCAAAGATTCGAGCATATTCGAATACGACTGGAGCGCGTGTATCACATGGTTCGCAAACGGAAGATCAGTTCTGTCGCACCCTCTGTCCACAGAGACCACAATTCTCGGAGACAGGTGCTTGACGAATCGAAGAATTAACGGGACCCACATTTGACAATTAGCAAGAAAACCCACGGGCAGATTCACCGCAACAGCTTCGTTGTCGTTCGAGCGGGCCCACGAACCAGAATTGAGAGAATCAATGCTCACTACCTCGAATTCGAACGAGATATTGATTTCACTAGCGAATTGGATTAGGTTTTCTTGAGTGAGGCTTAGTTCTAATTGGTCGTGGGGGGTTAAGTGGGAGGCGAAAGCTGTGATTTTTAGAGAAGGTGGGCCACCGCCCCCGCCGCCACGTAATGCGAGTTCTTGCATTAGGGATGCCCACTGGCCGCCGTAACCAATATCGAAGTCGACGATGTGGATTCTATTGGAGCCTTCTAGGTTTTCAAGAATGGCTTGGTTGCAAGTGAAGTTGGAGAATTGCACGAGGGGGGAGATTTCAGAGAAGGATTTGTAGGCGCCGATCTTGAAAACGAGGGCGAAAGGCGAAGAAGAAGACGACGAGTTGTTGTTGTTGTTCTGGTGGAGAAGGAGTTGTAGAGACTCCTTGAAGTAGAAAGCAGCCCGGTGGAAAGGCTTCCCGATCGGGGAGAGGTGGTGATTGAGCCGCGCCAATATCCCTTGCGCGAGTACGAGATTCCCTGTCTGGACCAACTCAGCAGCCTTGTACAGCTGGTCAACTACTGCCTGTTGTTGTCCTAGTTCATCCACCATCGCCGCACCGCCGCCGCCGCCGCAGTCGGTGGTTTTCGGCTTCTGTTGGTAGTGATTAGGGAGGAGCTGGAGCTGGTGAGGGAGTTGGTGGGTTTGGTGCTGCATATGCTGCTGTGACATGAAGAGTTCTTGTTGGCCGGTGTCGGTTATGGCTCCGGCGAGGGGGGAGCCGCCGCTGCCGGAGTTGTGGCGTTTGGGGTGAGGTGGAGCGGCGAAGATGGTGTTGTTGTTGTCTTGGTGAGGGTAGGATAAGGGAAAGAAGAAGGATGGGTTTTGAGAATGGTGGTTTAGCAGAAGGTTTGGGTTGAAAATGGGGGGTTTCATTTCTGGTGGGGAATCGAATTGGGTTTGGTGGTGGTGGTGGTGGTGGTGGTGGAGGGGTAGGGTTTCGTTGGGGGAGAATTTGAAATTTGTGGTGGGCAGATTTGAAGATCTGTGATTGCTGTTGTTGTTGGGGAAGCTTGGTAGAGCAGGCATGAAACTACTGCCGAATTGGTCGCCGCCGCCGCCGCCGCAGAAGCCTTGATCCACGACACCGAACCCATCGCTGAACTCGAACTCCGACGCGGCGGCGCCGCCGATTTGGAGGACCTTGTTGAGGCTACTACCCATAGCAGGGTCTTCGACATCGCCCATGATTAATCGGAGAATCGACTGCTCCTGGCTGGGAGAAACGGCTACGGATTCCGACAGCACGCTCTCCCAATCCTCCATGGCGAATTTCTCCGGGTTTGCGCCGCCGCAGGCGGCGGTTGCAGTTCCGATCTGGAGAGGTGGGGGGACGGAGAGGAGACCGGAATCAGGTCGTCCAGCATTGGAGCTGGTGGCAGTAGTTGAGTCCTGCTGCTGCCATTTGGTGTCGGAAACCGCCGCCGCCACACCGGCCGTGTCGGTAGAAGCAGCACCACCACCACCAGCGGTGCTTCCGCCGCCGCCGCCGAGAGAAGAAGACAGTGTTGACGAAGACGTGGGCCTGCTCGGAGTTCTTGCAGAATCCAGCACAGATGTGGGCTCACCAAATCCGCCGTTCAAGAAACAATACTTCTTGAAAAAAAAAGACGAAACCGCCGCCGCACCACCACCACCGCCGCCTCCAAAATCAGTAAAGAAAGTCTTGTTGTTTTCAACGAGCTCTAAATCTAACACCCCCTTCCCCTGAAAATCAAAGGGTAAGGGCATTCCCTTCATCTATATCAAGAAACTACGACACAGAACACTTCCAGAATGCAGGGAATTCAAGAACATATACAAGTATATACATGCATGTATGTATATATACTCGCTCGGAGAAAAAAAAAATCAAGAAACTAGAGAGAGAGAGAAAACTAATTAATGGGAGAATTGTTTGTTAAAATAATTTGGTGTGGTCTAGTCCATGAAGAAGAAGTAGTACTCTGTTTTCTGCCTTCTGTTTTCTGCCATGGATGCGTGCAACATAAAAAAGTAGTAAAGTGCCCCTCTTCATTCATCCTCTTTCTCTCTCTTTCTCTCTCTAACTCTCTCTCTCTCTCTCCTCTCTTTCTTTTTTTTTTTCTTTTTTTTTTTCTTTTTTTAGTTTTTTCTTTCATCCTTTTTAGTTAATTTATGTGGCTTGTCTAGTTCTCTTTCTTGCTAGGGTTTCTCTCCTTCTACGGACGCCCACGTGCATACACCGGCGCGTGCTTCCACTGTTAACTAGGGTGTTATTAATTTGTGTCCTTTTGACGATGTGGGCCTCCTTACATGACACTATTTTAAATACACGAAAATATAGACTAATTTGATTATATGAATTATGATAATTTTTTATATAAATGCACAAATTTAAGTTGTTTATTGTATTTAAGAAATGGTGCAAATTTAGACCGGATGACCTATTTTAATAGGAAAATCGGATGTCATAGAATGATTGACACGTGGATAGTTTAAATAAAAATATAATTAGAATTCTAATAAGTGGAGGAAAAAAAAGGAAAAAAGAAAAAAAAAACCAGCATAACCCGTAACCCCTTTAACACTAATTATAATTAGCGTGATTTATTAAAAGTTCAAATTTAAGAGTGTCACATGTCAAAAAAATTAGTGGAATCCAATTTATATTAAATATCGGCTCATCCGTTCAAAATTTAATCTCTTTAAGAAACTATATAAGCATGAATAGAAATATTGTAAATTATTTAATTAATATTTTATTTAGATTATAATTCAACTTATATATAATTTTAACCAAATTATTCGATTGATTTTTTTTTTTTAATTATAATTGGTAAAATATTTAGTGACTTTTTTCTATAAAAAAATGTATTTTTTTTTTGAGTAATTTGATGGTAGCTAAAGAGTGGCAGGATATTAAAATTTTAAGTTGGAATTTTGCACAATGGAAATAAATAATGTTTGAGAAAATACTAATATTGCATACACTTCAAATAAAATTTTAAAAAATAAAATATCTATATTAGTGCTCGATTACATAAAAAGAAAAGAAAAGAAAAAAGTTAACATTCATCAGTCAATCATTCACAACAATCAATTATTCATAAATAATTACTTAGTTAAATAAAACAGAATTAAAAAAGAAGAGGTCGTGACGGCACGCGCACGGTAAGAGCGTGGATGAAGGAAAATCAATTGCTTTTCCTTCTGTAGTTTTCTACAGGGACCAACATTGCAGTGGAGGGATGAACTGGCAGAAATGGGGCCCCCTTTGCCCTCCCGAAACTACCCCCTCCCAACCCTCTAGCCTCGCATATCAATGTAGGGGTACTTTCGTCCTTTCAAATGAAGCAGCTTCTGCTGTCCTGGTTTTCGAAACTGAATCTGACGACACGAGATAATGAAGAAAAGGGTTTTTGTTTTTGTTTTTGGGGCCGAGTTTTGAAAATATCGAGACAAAAATCAACGCACCAGATCTGTTTAAACGCGGGGGGGTGAATGGACGGTGGAGATCTGGAGCTTGTTCTATTGGGGTTTGTTTGGTTGTGGGTGTTATTAAATAACGGTTAATTGAGATTTCGGGGGAGTTTATTAACCAATGGGTTATCACTGATTTTTGACTGTCACTTTCTGTTGGCAGAGGGTAAAATAAATAATATAATAATTTTAATATTATTAATATTGAAAAGTAAAAGCAGAGATTGACAGTAAAAAAGTGGTAAAGTTACCCTAATTCGTCGTGGGTTGGTAGTTTTTGGGCTTAATGGCATTTTCGTCATTATTTGTCAAGATGTATTAACAATTTCAAATTTAATTAACTATAGTTTTCCATACAGAAAAAAAAAATTAACAATATTTATTTTTCCTTTTTCTTTTTATAAATTCATGACTTTAATTTTATCAGATTTTAATTTATCCTAAAACCTAGGACAGGCAATTGAGTCGGGCCTAACCGAAGTGTGACGGCCCGGCCCGATTATATTTGAGCATAGCCTATTTTGTAGTGACTTTGACCGAATTTGAGTCATTTTACTAAACTCAATTTATTTATGAGTCGAGTTTGAGTCTACTACGGCTCAACTCGAATAAAACTCGATCGATTATTTTAATGTTATGATAACATACAAGTTACGACCGTATAAGATTATTTTATTTTGCAAAATAAAAGGAATTAAGTGGTGGCGATGGCAATAAATAAAATGCAAAATACCCACCGAAACTCGAAGCCCGAAAAAATACATGAGTGAATTTGAGCCTATACTAATGAGGCCCGATGGTATGTCAGCTTGAGCTGACTTGAGTTCGGCTCACATGGTCCGATTGCCAGCCCTACTAAAAACATAGTCTATTTGAATGATAAGTTTTCGTGGTCGGTTTGATTACAAAAGCCTCTCCAAATGTCTATAAACTTGAGTGACATATCAAAACAATCGAATTATCGTTCGCCGCATAATTTAATTCGACGAAATCTGACCACCTGAATTGTAATTACAAAATTAAAATCCTATAAAAACAGAGTTATTACTCTTGATTTGATATTTGAGAGATTTATTTGAACAAATTAATAGTATAAAGTGTATAAAAGTAATATGGGGTAAAATTCATTTTACATCCCCGTGCTATTCGAAATGTATCATTTACCCCCTTATATATACAAACACACAAATGGGTCCTTAATTTTTACGATTAATGTTCAAACTTTTAACGGTGTTAATTTGGATGTACATATATATTATATGTACTGAAATGATTTGTGCAGGCACATATTAAACAGTCAGGCACATTTTTTACCATTCTTCAAAAAACAAAAAGTGAAAAAACTCAAAAACTCTCTCAACCTTTCGATTTTCTTTCGCAAAGCCCGTGCAAATCGTCAACAGATCGGAGGTAATTTTTACGTTTTTACGATCCTCTTGTTATGTAGATTACGAATCCGAAAAAAAAAACGAAAAAAATCGGACTTTGGCCTGCTCGTGTGAATTTACACGAGCGCATCCACTGCGCTCGTGTATGTTCGTGTGAAATCACACGAGTGGGTTAAAAAAAAAAAACAAATTTTTTAGAATTTTTTTTTTTTAAAAAAAAAATTTGTTAATGTGCTCGTGTGAATTTACGCGAGCACTTGCTTATATGAATGTATATTTTTTTTTTTTTTTTTTTTTTTGGTAATGCAGGAACCCGCAGCCAACCATATAGGTGCACTGGGTAAACATACACTCTCGTATAATAGCTTGCAAACCATACGAGAGATGTAAACCACACTAGGCTAACCATGTGTGACAAGCTCGACTTAGCGACCGTTGACAAGGGGATTCAAACTTGGGTCAATTGACCCAAGCTCCCTTGCTCCAACCGCTAGGCCACCCTTACGGGTTTATATGAATGTATATTGTTCATGAATTGTGTTGATATGTTCAAAATTCGTATGATTGATATGTTGCCAAGTGCCTTATTTTTTTCAATTATTAATTATTTTTAGCCCCAATGAAGATGTTGCCCAGTTCAATGCACCATACTTGCATTTCTGTCGAGTGTCGACCATTATATTGTTCGTCAATTTTACAATTCAATTATAAAAATACACAAATAATACTTATATATTAAATAAATAAAAAAGAAAAAAAAAAGAAAAGAGCGGAACAATGAGCTTCACACAATTCTCTAAGGTAGTATTAAAATAATACCTAGAAGTTATCAAACATTTACCAATTGTTTTAGTTAAGCTGCAATAGATATATGTACAGTTGTACTTAGTGTTTAAATTATTTTAATATGTGATGTCCAATTTTATTTTATTTGATAGGACAAATTACGGCAATTCTCTGAGTTAACATCAAATTAGGAAAAAATTATGATAATTACATTCACATTCTTCAATTATGTATTGTCTTACACGTCTATTCTTACGGTGTCAAATTTTAGCTATTGAACGAGGGGGGTTTTCGTAAAACAAATACATAATTGAAGAGAATAGTTGTAATTATCCAAACAATTGATAGTTTTTCACAATTTAATCTTACCTTAAGGAGGTGACCGTAATTTGCCTTATTTAATAATTTCATATTTTTACTACTCCTCCGAGCAACTCCAATCAAACACTAATTTGATGTTAGTTTTATTATTTTGATGCCCATTTACTCCAAGACAAATATTAAAAATATTATATAAGTTTTAAATATAAGTATAAATACATTTAAAAAACTGACACATGTCAATTCACAATAGGTTATTTGAGTAGTTAAATTTTTGATATTTCTTTTCCCAAGAATGCATTTTTGCATTCCCGGAATTTGAATATCAAAATAACTATCAATTTAATTTCTATTATAAATAATATTTTAGCTCAAAATAAAAAAAAAAATTATTTAATTCTCCGATTAATTCCTCCATTGGAATTGCTCTCGCAGAACACTCGTTCAATAATCCATCTTTCATACGTACAAGTGAAGCCTTATATGGAACTAACCCTTCATATTGGTTATAGAGTTATTCCCTTACATTGCTTCTTAAGCACGATTCACTAATACTTAATTAGTTTAAATTTCTAATAATGTGCTAATGTTAGTTTAATTAAACAAAGAATTATTGCATGCAAATCAATTTAGATCCGAAAAAAAAAAAATTTGAAAGCCCCGATAAATATATTGCTGTGTCAAAAGTTAAAAAGGATCATTGAAAAGCCAAAATCTTCAAATTTTATGTTGTCGGAATTTTCACACAAAAGTTGTTTCTCCCCCCTCATGGCCTTGTAATTATTTAGTATTTAGTACGAAGTTAATTACGTCATTAAACATCGTCTTTAGGTTTCGTTTAACTCAATTATATCGAACTAAAAATAAAAAAAAAATAAAAAATACCCCATCTTGTAACGTGTAATGCCAATTCGTTTTTATTTTTTAAATTAAAA